ATAACTAATTAAGTTGTCATTTGGTATAGTATTATGTTTAAAATTTCACTTACCTTTCTTTGGAAGGAACTTTGTTGAGATCAGGAATTATTTTCAATTCTGAGAAATCGAGTCTGAACTTTGCCAATAATGCCGCAATGCTAGAGAGAGTAAACAGTTATTGAATACAGTCTGCAATACATTTCGTCCTTGGTCATGACCTTTACGTATGTCTGACCTTTCATGACGTGCACATAAACAACTGACGTCACTGATTACATGGTCTGATTAAGAAATGCAACTACAAAAGATAAAAGTGTAACATGCGCGATATATAATCAACGCCGACTCCCCTCCCAATCCCACAATTCCACAGTAGACTCGTACACTAGAAATAAACTGACTGAAGCTTACTTTACTTCGTCTTGTTGTAAAGTGTCTTCGTTACCCCCGGCAAAGATTCTTATCGGACATTTTTCCCACTGTGATCGTTGAGACAACAAATAGGGTACCAATAACGTCAAACCTGGCAGTTAAATAAAAGAAATGAATATTCATGATATGCACACTCATCATTCCAGTATCACTGTATTCCTTTAAGTGAGTAACTGTTTACCGCGCTGATAGTCATGTATTAAATATCATACGTCACTTAGGAATCACGTAGCGCTAATTATTATGATCCTCACCTCCGTCGTCATATAACCACCATATATCTATTGTTCCCTTCCCCTGGCTACCATGGAAACGAGTAATCTTGCGCAAAATCTTGCTGTCTATTTCATACTCCTCATCGGTTAAATGCTTTGTCTTTACTGTTGCCACGGAAACTGTTGCTGTATCATGGTCCTCCTTTTCCGAATCACTAGAGGCATCGCTTTTATCCGATTTGAAAGTGTCTAAGACGACAGTTGAAGACCGACGCCCATTCGCCGTTGTACCGTTACCTAGACAACAATGTTATGTGTTAGTCCACTAGGTCCATGAAGCAGCGATTGACATAGCAAGTATTGTGGGGTTAAAGCGGGGATGCCGCAAAGTACACAAGAAAACATCTTGAATACAGCGAGAGTATCGACGACGCGTAGCATATTTTGCGCAATCCTCATAGCAACAATTTTATACATCTTCTCGATTCGACCGCTTGGTGTTGGAGCTTTCCGGCTATGAACTTCGTTTTCAAAAAAGTCCGCCATCTTTGAAATACCGCGTGAATCGTTCCACAATTGAATATTGTTGTGCAATACTGTATAATAATTAAGTATATTTTTGTGAAAAATATCGCTATCGAAGAAGCGAATCGTTTTACTATGGATATAAAACATACACTGTAAATATTGAAAGTACATATTACTCACTCAATAATCTTCGTTTGACTTTCTCTTTAGAAACATCGAATCCATCTGGAACACGGAGCACACACACACCCATATTGACATCAAACGCATCGCTGGAAATGATGAAAATATCAATTTATAACTAGTAAGAAAAGTCAGCTTAACCCAACAATGAGTCTTCAAGAGACTTCAATAAACATCACGTGGTACGAACGTGCAAACAAGTTCACTTACTGCATCGTGTCCACATATGCGGCAACTTCTCTGCCCTTAACCTCCATCCAGTCTGACTTATAACCGATTATAACTGTATTTGGTGTCAATTTACCAAGGCCAGATGTCTGAAAGTAATAAACCAAAAAGGTAAACATTGTCACACTAGGCTACTTTATGCTACGTGCTTTCTAGTTCGCTCATGTTATGTGCTTTCTGATTGGTGACTATCCTGTAACATCACATCTTGTTGCTTGCTTTCTGATTGGTTCATTGGTGAATACTTAGAGATTATTACACGACAATAGCGTCGTATTTACGAGTGACCTTGGAATTTCGACTTGTCAAATTCCAAGATTTCGTGTGTTTTTTTCAAAACAAGATATCCCGTTACATGGAGCCGCAAAATGCGCGCCGAAGCCATGGCATAATGTGGTGGACACATACATACGTGTTCGCAAATAGTCGACATAGTGTCACTATATGTTAATCCTGACTGATAATAACATTAACTAAATATATCTGAATATGACGTCATGTGCTACTCGTTCTAGGTATTTTGCTACATATCCATGAAGCAAAACAATCTGTATAAATGTAAACAACAGTTATATATATATTTTTAAATTCACCTGAAGAAGGCTCATCGTTCCTTTTCTTCGATCGTTGTCAAATATTGGCTGGTAAAAGGCTTTAATGTTTTCTCTGGCCAACCACTTATCCTGGACTTCCCGCAATTTATCTAGTTTGTGAACTTTCTCCTGTCCCTATACGTTGAAAAACAAAGAGTATCTATTACTATATTATACCCGTATAACAGCATGTTGAAAACGTCGTTGTAATTTAACGATGCTAACTGCGACCTTTTCGCTATACACCTTAAAATGGCGTTTTCATTCAGGCCCGAAAAATGAATAGCAAATACCAATAAGACTCACTAACATATTTTGAGAGACGAGTTAAATAATATTTAATTGTAAGAGAACAATTCAAATTGGGGATATTATAGTATTTAGACAGTATTGTGTGCAAATTGAAAAACGTCATCTATCAGAATAACGTCAGACAATTATCAGCCACATTTATTACTCAGGAGGTGCCTGTGTGGTTCGAGGTGGGTGTCTGTGTGGTCGTGATGGGTGCCTTTGTGGTTCGAGGTGGGTGCCTGTGTGGTTCGAGGTAGGTGCCTGTGTGGTTCGAGGTAGGTGCCTGTGTGGT